AAGTCACTGTGCCCGACTCAGCGGTGACGCGGCCCTGGCTCCAGCACAGGCCTCGGTGCTCCTGACACGCCGGCACACGGCAGTTGCTCAATGAATGTGGACGAGTGAGCGCTTTAGGGCTGAGGGTGCCAGGGAAAACCAAGCCTCAGGAGTCTGAAGACCGGGGAGACCCGTGTGGCCTCACTAATGAATGACACGAACGAGAAGTCGCCACCAAGAAAGGGTTTGGTGCCGAGAGGCTGATGGGGTGGCGTGGGCTCCGGCGGGACTGCTCTGCCCCGATGCTCCCGGCCCAGGAGCACGCGCCCTGTTCCCGTGGGGAGTCCTCGCCGTCCCCAGGCTGCGAGGGATGTGGGTGAAGGACCCCCCTGCGCACTTGGCTCGCACGGGAGGAGAGGAGTGTGTGCCGAGTGCTGCTGGTCCATCCTGTCGGACGAGGTGCGGCCAGCCTGCAGGGCCGTTCCTGTCTGGCTCTGCTCAGAGCTTCACAAGGGTCCAAGTTCAGGAGACGGAGCCCGGAGAAGAGCTGGGTCAGCCTTCCCCACGGCAGTGGACACAGCCGGCTGGCCGCGCTCAGGCCCCAGCGTTCAACGGCCACCGAACAAAACCACATGCAGCAAGGCCCCAGGGGCAGCCGACTTCCAGGAGGACTCAGCGGGGTGCAGGCTGGCACTCCCCAAGAGCTGCCGCTTACCAAGGGCAGTGCAGGGTGCTCCTTCCACGGAGGCCCTGCTTGGTGGTCAGCTCGGCCCAGGACACAGGGGGGAGAGCGCCCGACCCAGGCACACGGGACATGAAGGCCCTGCTCTTCCCACCAAGCTGTGGGTCAGAGCTGACATTTCACCACACACGGCACACACACACTCACACGGCAGACATGGCATTCACACACACACACACACACACACACACACTCACACGGCAGAGATAGATACACACGGCACGCACACTCACACGGCACAGGCTCTCTTCCTGCGGGGTCTCTTTTCCTCTGTGAGTCGGGAAACAACTTGCTTCCCTTCCTGAGCTGTGGCAGGTGCTGAAAGAGCTTGAAACTTTAAACCCAAACAGCTAAGATGAGAACCATGAGCGTGTAGCTCTCGGTTCTGAGCCGAGACAAGGGAGGCTATGAGAGGCAGGCAGCTCTGACACGGCACCTTCTCTTCCCTCAAGGACACACCCCGAGTCGTTCTGGCTGCAGAGACCCAAGCAGCAAAGACAAGGCCGCAGTCCCCCAGAACCAGCCCCGCAGGAGCTGCTGCAAGTTGGCAGGCACGGGGCGCCTCCTGTGTGTGTACGCCGTGTGTATAATCATGGATCAGCTGCCTCCTGCACGGGCGCCACACGGAGGGGCGCCCCCAGTGGGACTCCTTCCCTACAGGAAGACAGGCAGGAGGCTTCCGAGAGGGGCTGTGGTCGTGCCACAGGCAGGGTCTCCCAGCCTCCCTGTGCCCGCACCCCGTCATGCTGGCCCCCCTCAGGCTACATGTGTCCCTTGTGCAGTGGGGCTGCAGCCAGTCCCGTGCGACGGCCTGGACTTGACCCCGGCTGCGGCCAGCCTGCTGGGAACCCCTGGGGCTGCGCAGCAACACACCTGTGCCATGACCCGCCTTCATTTCACTCACAGGACGTTTCGAGAGAACGCCGTGCTGAGGAAGCTGTAGGCGTGAGGGTCTGATGTGTGTTTGACATTAAGTAACATTACAACAGTAGCAAATCAACAGAAATCGCCACTCTTTTCCTCTCAAGAGTGTACACATCTGGGAAACCCTACACGGAAGCAAACCCGTCAACTGGAGATGCCACCAGAGGCACAGAGTGGGGGGAGGGGCGGCCCAGGCCACAGGTGACCCTGCCGGACCTCGCTGCCATCCTTGTCCTCTTCGGATCTGGAACGTGAGCGAATGGCCCAAACGAAAACCAGAAGCAACGAAGCCGGTCACACTTTCTCACTGTTTATATTTGGCAACGCACCAGACCTTCCCCACAGCACAGCAGGGAGACGCCAGACCCAGTCGGGCTGCTTGTGCCGGACAAAGCAGGGGACGCGTGGCCTCAGGGGCCTTGTGGCTACGAGCAAGGTCTGGGCAAAACGGTGGCCACAATCCAGGCATCTCCTTCCCCAGTGGAAATGCGAACCTTGTGACCAATGGCATTTCTTTTTATTTAAAAATACATTTTTATTGATTTCAGAGGGCGAGGGAGAAACATCAACAATGGAGAGAGAATCATGGATCAGCTGCCTCCTGCACACCCCACAGTGGGGATCGAGCCTACCACCCGGGCACGTGCTCTTGACCGGAACCGAACCCAGGATTCTTCCGTCCACAGGCCGATGCTGTCCACTGAGCCAAACCAGCTGAGGCGACTAACAGCATTTCTGACAAATCCGAACAAGGAGTCCAGCAGAGTGCTGTGTGTGCCCCTGTAAACCCGGATGAGGGCCCTCAGCCGGGGCCTGGGCCGCCTCTGAGATGAGCCGCTGTGGAGCAGCAGCTCCAACCTCAGTGCGAGCCCGCGGCCGGAGAACTCCCATCCTTGGCCTGAGGCTGCAGGTCTCTCTCCAGGCTTGTCAGGCTAGCAGCTGGAACTACTGCCCTGCAACCACCCCGTGGCATATCACACACACAACCACCCTCATCGCAGGCAGGCCGTGCGGGGTGAGGCTGCGGGGATGCCACGCGCCAGCAGGCCGTCCACCCGAGTTCCCGAGTTCCCCTCTGACCGCCGGCGGGGGAAGAGGCCGGAGCAGCTTTGTCCCCGGTGCTGAGCGCTGGCGATGTGAGAACCTCAGTGCACAATGGTCCCTAAGCAGGATGTGTCCGCTTCCTGTCGCATGTCGAAGTCTGAAGGGATCGTTTCCAGCTGAGAGGGCCTGGGGTCTGGCAGAAGGTCAGTTGGACCACCTGCAACACAGGGATTCACGGTGTGAGAGCCTGTACCTCAGCCAGCCGGGAGCAGTGAGGCCACACCTCCCCGCGGCCCCCGGGGGGCAAGTCCCCAAGGGAGGGGGGCGCCTGAGGAAGTGAGGGGACTGTCAGCTGCAGCTCCGACTGACATGGCCCAACCTAGGGTGTGTGTAGGGGTGCACATGTCGGGGAGTGTGGCTATGTGTGTGTGGGGGAGTATGTGTTGTGTGTGTGGCTGTGTGTGGGGGGTATGCACACAGCAGCTGGCCTGTGGATCTGAACCCGAGGCTGGGGAAGGTCTCCCAGGAGCTCCCACTGCCCAACTGGCAGGGGCTGCAGTCTCCACCTTCAGATCCCCTTCCCAAACGCCGTGCTTCCCGTGTCCAGCCGTGTTCACCGGGCCTGGCCTCACTCACCAGGTGCTCTCAGGGCTGCGGCACGTGGCCCAGTGCTCAGTGCCACCCCGGCCTTGGGGACTCTCCTGCCAGTGTTTCCTGGGAGAGTCTCCCCTCCTCACTCTGCGACAGCGTGTGTCTGCGTGGGGGCAGCACGCGCCCCTCTGCTCACAGTCCTTCCTCGCCTCTTTGTTTCTCTGGTTCAACCACTGCCCCGTCTCCGAGTGGGTTTTCCTGGCTGCTGAGACCTGTCTTTGAGACCAAGTGGATTTTTCATTCCAGCACCACCTCTTTTTGGTTCTACTTCTGTGAAAAAGGCCACTGGAATTTTGACAGGAATGTGACTAAATCAACGGATTGCTTTGGGCAGCACGGGCACTTTAACAATATTAATTCTTCCTACCATGAGCATGAGACATCTTCCCACTTATAGGTGTCGTCTTCCGTTTCTCTAATCAGTGTTTTGCAGTTTTCAGCACACAGATCTTTCACCTCCTCAGTAACAGTTACTTCTAAGTATTTTATTCTTTTGGATGCTATTGTAAATAGGATTGTTTTTCTTAGGTTTTTTTTTGAGAGTCTTTGTTAGTGTATAGGAACGCACTGCACACTATTTGTTCGCTGGTTTGTATCCTGCAGCTTCCCTGAGTTCACTCAGTAGCTCTGACAGTTTGGGTGCATCCTTAGGATTTTCTGTATGTGAGGTCATGTCATCTGCACACAGAGAGACATCTCCTCTCTTTGCACCGTGAATGCCTTTTGTTTATTTTTACTGCCCAACTGCTCTGGTTAGAATTTCCAGAACAATGGCGACTAGAGCTGGTGAGAGCTGGCACCCGTCTTACTCCTTGGAGGACGTTTCCCACCTTTCCATGTTGAACGTGACGCTAGCTGTGGCCTCTGCGCATCACTTGCTTTATTTATTTATTTTCAGTCCTCACCTCCACTGGGGAGCGACCAAACACTGGAAACGAGTGCAGAGACGCCCCCACCTCCCCTCGGCCAACAGCTACGCTTGCTGACGGCACAGACAGCTCCCTGACCCGTGAGACCTGGGCTGTTAGGAAGGAAGAGGATCATCCCGGGGCTGACCGACATCTAGGGGACGAGAGCTGACTTCAAAGTTGCACAAATGAGCAGCAAAAAGACAACACTTTGAAGCAGCAGAAACAAAAGGAACAAAATGTTAGGATTTAGACAGAAAACACCCCTCAGAGAAATGAAAAGGGGGTATTTCCAAACTTGGGAAATCAGGTTGTAGGTCCTACCAGATGTGCCTGAAGAGCAGCCAGATCTGCTAACATCCGTACAGAGGAGCCGCAGGAAGCGAGGCTACTTCACACGCCAGAAACACAAACGCATGACACCCCTGGAGACGGCGCCCACGTCCGGGAAATGCCAGGTCGGGGTTCAGGACAAGACAGGCCGGGGCTCCACGCCCTGAGCTGCCTGCAGGGCTCTTGCTTGGAAGAGGGCAGCCGGGGCAGGGGGTGGGGGGGCCGTGCAGGAGTCCTTCTGGGAGCTGGGGGGTCAGTCAGGCAATCACCCCTCCCCCAGGTTTAGGCCACGGCTGCTGCGAAGGGCCTGGCTTTCAACTTCTAGTCGTTACCAAGGCTCCAGAGGTCACCGGGCTCAGCATGCCACCTCTGGGGTTTCCTGGAAAGCCTGTCAGCGAGGACTGCTTGAGACTCGGTTCCTTTTAAATGTCTTTAATGCTAAGAGCTCTCCGGTGCCCAGCGACGCAGAGCAGCAGACACCCCGATCGGGCTCCTGACACTCACTGCACCCTCCTCTCCAAGAGGGAACCCCGCTGGAGGCCTGCAGCCTGGGCCAAGACCAGCCCGTCGGCACACGCCCGACAGCACACACTCCCAGTCAAGTGAAGGGAGGGCGCCCAGCAGACACCGCCGAGCCCACCCCAGAGCGAACCCTCCCGCCAGGAAGGGAGGAAGCGAGGACCCAAGCAGAGAGCTGGAAGCATGACCTGTGAGGACTGTGGTCAGAATCTGAGAGGACACAGGTCCAGGGGTGCTGGGATGGGAGGGAGCGACACCTCTGAGCACCAGCCCACAGGCTCCCCACGGGCCTGCGGAGGAGCTGGGCAGATGCCCTCCCGCCCTCCCTCCCTCCCTCCCTGCGGAAAGCGAGGCCTGGACCCCGAGCCCGTCCCCTCCAGGCAGAACAGCCATGGCTCCGATGACAAGGAAGGTGCTGCCGGGGATTCAAGTCCAGACTCGCCATCTGTTCTCACCAACCTCTTTCTAGAGAAAAAAGACTTTTCTGGAAACCAAGTCAGCTTAGGGAGGGGTCTGTCCGCAGGACCTGACACCTGGCTCCCTTTCACATCTGGCCCCTGGAGTGGCCTATGCTGTGGCTGTGAGTCTCACGTCGGTGTCTGGTGGACAGCGCACTCTGAGGACGGAAGGGGTGACTTACCCAGAGGAGGAGCCCCTTCTCCACGGGTCCGGCTCCTGCTGTCTGCTTCCTGCACAGACAGGAAACCGTAGTGAGAATGGAATCTGTCTAAGGTGCACACGGGAGAAACCACCATCTCTAAGCAGGCGCCAGGCAATGCGAGGGCGTCTGGGGCTCGGCTCGTCTCCCGTGGGCCCGCCTGGCACTGGACTTTCGCCCACATTGACTCCGCGATGGCGATGGAGGCAGCCTCGCGTGGAAAGTGAGTGCCAGCGCCGCTCCCAACACCAGGCACCCCCCCGCTCCCCCCATTGGAGCTTCCCAGGGAGATGCCCACGGGAACATCCTGCCGAGTCCAGGGAAGACAGCATGCAGCTCTTTCTACAGCAGGGCCCAGGGTGCCCGTCTGGTGCGGCTGCCCACCTGCCTTCCCCCGACACGGCAGCCACAGGTGATCCGTCCCACACTCAACAGTTGATGCTTTTCCCATACAATCTGCCAGGCTCCTGAGGTGATGACGCCCCGGGAGGGCCAGGGGTCTTTGTTGCTCTCGCCTCTCCAAAGTGTGAGGCTCTGGGCTGGGGCCTGGCCCCGCCCTTGTTATCCCAGGGGATCAGAGGCAGTTTTACAGCAGCCGCCTCCCTCAGAAGCACCCAGAGAATGACAACCTGAAGAAATCACAAGCCAATTGGTAGCTGCTGGCTGTGGAATTTCACACCTCATCCCTCACACCAGCAAGGAGGTTAAAAGGTCCTGGAGCTTTGATGCCCGCACCTCCCTGTCCCCTCTCTGCCCTCTCCGCCCTGCAGAGCTTCCCAGGCAGGAGGAGCCCTGGGACTTCCCGTGTGGCCAACAGGAGACAAAACCCAGCAAAAACGTGCTGGCCAAGTAAAGATGTAATTCAATCACGGCGATTAAAAATGAAAAACCAGATTACCCGGCCTGAAAAAAAATGTCCTGGTCACAATAAGAGACTGTGTGCGCACACAAAACACGTTTCACATAGAAGCCCCTAAAGTTAGAAAACATAGGGGCACTGACACATGCAGTGAGCAATACAACCCCCTGTATGTGCCACCTGGGTGTCCGCTTGCACCCCGCACATTGCCTGCAGCCACGGTCTCCTGGGGCCAGCACCCAGCTTCACACTCAGCCAGGGAAGGACACACGACAGAGCTGGCCCAGCTCTGCTGGAGTTGGACTCCTCGTGCCCAGCGGCAGGTACCCAGATCCTATGACACGCACACGGCACCCGCAGGAGGTTGGCACTGAACATAGTGGGAGCTAAGAGCAGGGGCTGAAGGAGTGCGGCAAGGACAGACGGCTTTCCCCAGGTGATGGTGCCGTGGGCAGGCTGGGTGCTCATGCATGGCCTCTGTGGGCAGGCAGTGATGGCCAGGGTGACCAGGCCAGCACCACGGTCAGGTTGCTTTACTGATCTTTTAAAACATGGCTTCATCCTGGCTATTTCAGTACAACTAACATTGTTTGTTTTTTAATAGAAAAAACTCTACTGAGCCCTTGCTGGTGTGGCTCAGTGGACAGAGTGTCGGCCTGCAGACTGAAGGGACTCAGGTTCGATTCCTGGTAAAGGGCACATGCCTTGGTTGCAGGCTCGATCCCCAGTAGGAGGCGTGCAGAAGGCAGCCGTCAATGATTCTCTCTCATCATTGATGTTTCTATCTCTCTCTTCCTCCCCCTTCCTCTCTAAAATCAATAAATATATATTTTTAAAAATAAAAATAAAACAAATAAAAATGCTGATGCCCAGATCTCAGAAATATTGATATAACTGCTCTGGATTGTGGCATGGGCATTGGGGTTTTGTAGATTCCACATGTTTGCAGGCTTGATCCCCAGAAGTGGACGTGCTGGAGGCAGCCAATGCCGATCTATGATTCTCTCTCATCGATGTTTCTCTCTCTCCCTCTCTCTCTCTCTCCCCCTTCTCTGAAATCAATAAAAATATATTTAAAAAAAAAACCTCTACTGAAATAATTCAGCTTCTAACTATGAAGGGAAAAGCCAGGAAGCTAACAGTGACAACACCTCGGGAAAGACCTGGAGGACATGGTCACTGCGCTTGCGATACCCACGGTCCTCTGGGCGCAGGATGCCGCCCGCGCAGCACAGGCTGAGGCTGTGTCTCCGTGGGAAACCCTGACTGCCGGGGGAGGGGGTGGAATGCCTCTTATTCTGAGAGGCTGCAAACACAGGGGCCTAGAGGCACCTCCACCTGGCCTGGGCCACATGCAAACTGTTCACACTCAAGTTTTACTTTTCAGTCACAGCTGACGTTGAACGGGCTGTTCTCATTTCTGAGTGTTCCTTTTCCATCAGGAAAGAGCAGAACCAGAGAACCACAGTGTGCCCCAGGCTGGGCACCGAAGGAAGCTGGGCGAACTCAAGGGGGCACAGATGCTGCACGAGTACGCATAGGAACCCCGTGCCCAGAGGTGGCGTCCACACGAACGCATGGCCTGCCCACTCCAGGTCCATCCTCGCCTGCAGCCCTCTCCACCCGGACCTGGCATTATCTTATCCTCTCTGACTTCCTAAGACCCAGAGGAGAGGGAAATGACAGCCCCAGCCGGGGTCGCTGTGGCTGCCACACCTGGCCACGTGTGGGGGACACGGAGCGGGAGATGGAGAAGAGGTGGGTTCTGAGGGACGGATGTGGCCCCCGACTCCAGACCGGCCCAGGTCGGCCTGGGTCTCCCGTCAGGCGCTCGGGCTCTGCTGTCCTGGGCAAGCAGGTGCATTGAGCCTCAGCCAGAGGCCCAGGGCCTGGGCTGCCCGACACCCTCCCTGCAAGGTGACGAGGTCTGCAGGTCTGGGGACCTGACCAGGTGAATGACGGGTAGAAAACTGACCAGGAACAGACAGACCAACTTGTGCCGGCGAGGACCTACCCCTGCCTCACTGTGCAGTGCGCAGGGCTCTTGTGTGCCCACATACCGCTCCCTGGCAAGCACACCTGTCTCTGACGCAGGCACTGACACTGTGGGCGGCACTGACCGAGCCGTGCGGGCAGCGCCCTCTTACCTGAGCCCTGCTCTCTCCAGTGCTGTCCTTGGTCTGACCGGCTGTTTCCAAAGCTCGTCCTATGGGCGCCAGATCCCGGTCTTCCCCGCCTCCCTGTGGGGACACCAGGACGTGAGCAGGCACCAATGCCTGACCCATGACACGCCACGTGCAGGCCTGGAGCAGGGGCAGCAGTGTCCAACTTCTGTGTCTTTACAATCGAAGGGAGAGCCCGTGAAAACGCAGACGGGGGGCCCTGTGCCAGTGCTGGGGGGACAGAGGCCTGTGGTTGGACGTGTGCCCCGGGGCCTGTGCTGGTGACGGGAGCAGACGGAGGGCACGCGCCCATGAGGACCCGCATCTGTGAGGACCAGTGCAGGGCCTCGGTCGCCAGACCCAATGCTCCAGACACACATCCTCACCTACCCCGACTCCTCCCCCAGCTCCTCGCCATCTGTCCCGACCAGACTTTAACACAGGAGGTCTGACGAGGCCCGACGTACATGTTAGAAATGTGGGGTTTCACAAGGACCCACAGAAGGAAGGTGCCTGCTAGCATGACTAGGCTCTGCACACGCAGAGGCTCCCCAGGCGGCCACCTCACTGGGCAGAGCCCTGCATCCCGCGACGCCCAAGGGCAGCCTACCTGTGCTGGGAGGAGAAGGCTCACCCGGGAGAGGAGGTGAGGTCAGAGCTGCCCCCCTGCCCCAACCCGTCCTCGCTCCCCTCAGTCCCTTCACTCCCCAGGCTCTGCCCTGTATCAGATCCCACACGGCACCTGGTAGGAGCTGGACGTGCCCCCAGGTGCTGTCCTGAGCTCGTAACACAATGGCTCTAGGAAGGATGTGTGCAAGGCTGTGCCAAGCAGAACAAGGACAGCCCACTGGGGAGGAGGCTGCGGTGGGCTCTTATCCGCCGAGAAAGAAGGGGCTGCTCTAGCCACAGGCGTGGATGCTGGCGAAACGAGGCCACAAAATCACTGAGATCCGCTGACGAACAAGAGGCCCATCCACTGGTAGACACTGAGCGGCCAGAGGATGCTCTGCCTCCTGCCCACATCGGTCAGTGAGGGCGCACGAGCGAGAGCTCTCCACCGCTGCAGGTGGAGGTTAGTAACATTGACCCAAAATCCAATTACATGTTGATCTATAATTCTGTAAAAACTCTACCCTAGGGAAAGGCCAGATGTAAGTACGATGTATAATGAGAAATGAAAGCAACCTCAGCGCTGAGGTGGGGGAGCTAAGTGGGTGGAGCCAGCTCTGCTGCTGGCGATATGCGCCCACGCTGCTGGCCGGTGCTGAGGGGACACCAGCCGCAGAGAACAGCACAGAGATGGGAGCACAGGTACCGCAAAAAGCATGACGGTCCACAGCCACCGACAGCTACGTGATTAAAGTTACTGTTTCCTGTTTAACTGTCTTCTCTGCATCTGCTTTTGCTGCGTGCACGCTCGGTGTGGGGAAATATAAACTCGTGTCAAGCACACGCCGCCCAGCAGGGCCTGTGCCCCAGACCCCAGAAGGGCTCCCACCCAAAGCAGCTCTGAGTCACGAATTCACAAGGAACCCTACGACATGCTCTTTCCTAACGGAACCGAAGCCAAAGCCATGTCATCAGCCCGGCCTTCCTCCTGAGACCTGCGGCGACCCACCTGAGTGGAGTGGCTGCCAGAGCTGCCGGCTGGCGATGCGCCGGTCCTCCCGCAGGCAGGCCTTGCACACCACGGACTTCAGCTGGTGGAACTGGGTGAGCCGCGCCCTCTGCAAACAGACCAGCGTCAGACACGCAGGCTGGGGACACTGCGGGACGTCCCTCGGCCTCTGACCTGGCCGCTCTCCCGAGTCCCCACAGTAACCAGCAGTGGTGTCTTCTCTTCTGCAGGTCAGACACACCCTAAACACCTTCACGTCCCGTTGTGACACCTGGGTCACCCACCAGAAGCTGACCTAAAAGTCTGTCCGCCGAAGTGGTACGACTGCACATGTGCAAGTAGCTGACGGAGGAATGAACCCCCGTCTCCCAGCCCACTTCACGAACACCCCGTCGTCCTGCCGCCTGCTCTAAGCCAGAGGCTGTGCACTCAGCCACTCTGCACGGGGTCGAGATGCTAGAGCACAGACAGACCCATGGTGCAGACTCGCAGCTCTGCCCCTCGTCCCTGCTGTGGTAACCAGCCCCGTGGGAGCAACCTCTTCCCTCTGATCCTGCTCCTGTCGTCCACACTTGACATTCTGGCGGCTTCTAACTTCTGAACTTAAATTCCCGAGACGCCCCGCCATGCGTGAGACACGACCACGGGAGCTCCAAGTCTCCTCCCTGCCAGGCACATGCGAGCCTGGCCGAGCCTCGTAGGAGACCTTCCAGGAATCACATGCTTTGCACTCATGAGGACGGACTTCAGCCTGCACCCCAACCTCCCCTCCAGCCTCAGAATCTTTCCAGGTAGTAAGGGGCCACGACTCCTGCCTGGCGTCCACAGAGGCACCTCTGCAGGAAACATCTGTTGTCGCACGAAACGGGGGCGGAGGTAAGCGCCTGAGAGTTAAACAGGCGCGGCCCAGCTCTGCCACCTCAGGACGGGAGGGGCAGCACCAGCACCTCAGGGACACTTTTAATTCTGCTTCCCAGGAAGGCTTGCTTTCGCCACTGTACACGAGGGGGGACCTAGCGGGAGTTGCGGGCGCACGTTGTCCCCTCCCCCCCCACAGACATCTGGGGTCCTAGGCCAGGAGACACGTGTGACAGAAACTGGACGCTCTAGCTCCTGAGCGCCAGGCAGTGTGTCTGCAGCTCTGGGCCTGCACTGGGGTCTCTGTGCCCGCCCTCACATGAGGGGCGTGAGGACACAGCACTGACCTCCCTGTGCCAGGCCACGGACTTGGGAGTTTCACGAGCCACTGGCCCAGCCTGTGGGACAACCGGAACTCACGTTCTGCTCCACGAGGGCCTCCACCGTGTATCCCTTCTCGGTCTGCAGGTACTTCTCGTGAAACAGCTTCCCGTCAAAGACGTTCCAAGGCATGAGGTCACTCGTGCTCCAGGGGAAGCCGCACGCGCTGTTGACCAGCAGCAGCATGGTCAGGCCGCGGACCAGGAGGGAGCCCAGTTGCACGGCTCTGGGGTCCACACGATCGAGCTGTGGAGACCAGACCACAGAGGAGGTGACACGCAGCCCACCTGGGGACAGACCCAAGCCTGTGCTCACACACAACCGCACCACTCGGGACCGAGGCTCGGAGGCAGGGGCCTGTGGAAGAGCCCACACACCTACGTCACACGCCTGCCCGCCCAGATGCCCTGTAAGCGGCCCCTTCCCCCGCAAACCTGAGCCCTCGGGCAAGCTCTGGAGTGCACTCTGCAACAAGAGCCTCATGTAGGTACCGATGGGCTCCCTGAGATGGAAACGTGACCCTCGGTTGTTCTAACCATGAGTGTGATTACTAAAAATACCATTTTAAATAAATACTTATCACTGAGGATACAATGGCTTACAGGGTTGAGGGGCTGACAACTTTTACAATTAAGACGACCTTCCCAACACAAGGTATCTTGTTGCTGGCGAGTCTCCCTGATGGGAAACATCCTGACTGCCCTGAGACAGAGCTAACCTGCCACCGGGGGGACCTGCTGGGCGACAGCCTTCGCCTCCCTCTGGCCTGTGTGGCACACAGGTCACCGCCACCCAGCAGGCGTCCATGGTTCTGGCTGTGTGCACGTCTGCTCAGCCGTCGAGGAACTCAAGTTCAGCAGCTGCCCCCTGGACGTCACTGCCTGTCTAATTCAGTCACAAAACCAGAATAAGTCAGGAGTGTGACACTTTATCCCCTTCGTTAGTAAGGTTTCACTTCACTGACCGACATAAAGAATACCTGATCTTGGGAAATTCACCATAAGCTGGGATTACCGGGCGATCTAAGGTTGAGTAAAGGCATCTGCTGTCCAGGACTGCTTTCCAAATTGTCCTAAAACCATGGCCTACTGATGTCCTCTAAGGCCTGTTCAAGGTCAAGCTCCCTCCCTGCTGAAGAGGGAGATGGGCTCCGCAAGCCGGGTAACCCAGGGGCAGGGCGGGGCCACCTGTGCCCAGGTCCTCTGGCCTTAGCAGCTCTCCACAGGCAGGCTCCTATCAAGGGGGAGATGACACTGGTTTTTAAACTGGAAAGTTTGTTCTTGAGAAACAACGAACCTAAGTGACAGACAGTGTTTGATCTTAGAGATCTTCAGTGAACATAAAGCCTCGGTGAGTCAACAGCAAGCGACCTGACCAGGCGGCACCCGTCAGCTCTGGGCAGCCTTCAGAGCCACCACCCTACTCCCTGCGGCAGAGCCACAGCCCCCGCCACACGGTGTTCCCGCTGCAGGCTTCTCACTGCCCCAGGAGTCCCAAGTGGGAAAGGGATGCACGATCTGGTCTCGGGCAGGTGTCAGGGCTGCAGGGAACGTGGGCCCAGCTCCAGCACCTCCGATTCCCAGCGTGGCTTTCCTTCGCCACTGTACGAGGTGGGACCTAGCAGAGGCGGTGGGCACACTGGGCGTGGTAGACAGGCGGGCACCGGGCCTGGCCCTCGGCTGTCCCCCAGCTCTACACCGGCCACACCACCAGCAGCAGCGCTGTGCTCACCCCAGAACCACCCACATGTCCAGGGTGCTCTCCTGAGCTTCCCTATGTCTGCAGGCGAGGGTCCTGTGTGGTTAAAACTGGTGTGGTTATATATTTTCATTTTCCAGAATATCTTCTCCCCAGAAAAGTATTTCTCAGCCACATTTGCCTTGTTTTGTTTTTCTAATTACGACGTCAGGTTTTGGAAAATAAGCTTTGCTTTCCTCCTCGACAAGCCGCTCAGGAAGAGAACCACACCGAACGGCTGACGACGACTGAAACCAGTGGAGAAGCGGGGCTGGTGGGGAGCTGGCTGAGCAGGCCCGAGCTCCAGCTGCTTATCAGACAGAAATCTCCTCATCGAAGCCACGTGGGGACTTTCACAGGCCACAGCGTTAGTCGGAGGCTCCGAGGTCACCTTTCTGGTCCGAAAGGCCTGGTCCGATGTTGCAGGTTCCACATGGAAGCTGCTGCGACAGGGCCTCCGGGTGGCAGTGGCACAGCCGTGTAAGACGGGCCTCAGGGAAACTACCCAAGCCTTGCTGGGTGGGCGCTGAGGACGGCAGGCACCAAGGTCGGCGGGTACAGGTCTGGCCCTTGTGTCCTGGGGCTACCCCTCAGCTTCCTGGGTCTGGCCCCTGTGTCCTGGGGCTACCCCTTAGCTTCCTAGGTCTGGCGGAGTTGTCTGCAGAGAGCCTGTCAGGAGCGTGCGTGAGGGCAGAGGCTGCCCACCTGCTTAGCTGTGTCTGTCTGTCCTCTTGATTCTTTCATTCTGAAAGGAGAACTTCCGTCTGGAAGGAGGCTGGAGTCAAAGCCAGTGGGGGGAGTGGGAGGCGGAATGGTCTTGCTGCTTAAAAAGGGGGCCCTGGGAGCTACGTGTGCTCTCTAGTTAAGTCTGTTACTTTGATGACTTTCCCTCCTAACTCTGCAGATTCTACCCTAAATCCCATCTCCCTCCGGGCTGCATGAGGCATGGGGAGCCCTTACAGAACAAGGAACACGCTCCGTGCTCTGGAGCTGTCGGCTGAGCACCACGGACAGCTGCAGCTGGTCCAGGAAAAGCCATGTCGGAGCACTGAGCACCCCCGGAGAGGAGCCCGGGCCTGCCCAGCTCCTCCCTGTGCTATGTCGGTGAGACAGCGCCTCCTCACCTGTGGCTGCCCTTTCAGCATCACCACAGAGAGCTGGCTTTTCTTCCTTTAAATTAGAACACCTTCCCTCACTCACAGCTTCCCTCAGCCTGCTGTCCAGGGCATTTTCCCAAACCGCCTTACTCCTGGGCACAGGGTCTTTCTCACGGAAAGGGAAGAGGCAAGAACCTGGCAGGACATGAGGGCCCTGAATCCACTTCTACTCCGCCAATAACAGGGTGGTGGGAGGCGACCCAGTGTCAACAGACTACAAAGTCCCACTTGGCGTCAACGTCCCCTTCATTTCATGAGAAGCTGCGTCCAGCCTCCCATCCACCTTAGTTCCCCACCTGTGAACAGCAGGAGAGGGCATGGTGCCTTGAGCTCTTTCTACCCTGCTTGGCTGTTTAAGGTCGCTGGGTCCCGACCACAGCCAGGTGTCCTCTCACTGGACAGTCCCCTGGGCCAGTACCTGTACGTCTGCGAGATGCCCAGCTGACTTCCCTGAGAGGCACAGGGCCTGAGCGATGAAAGCGTGCAGGTCCTCCAAGCACAGTGTGTCCACCTGGGAGGGAAGGAGAGCCGGCGTTAGCTCTTCCAGACACGGTCGCAAGGACTGGCTACAGGCACACGGTGTTCAGATCTCAAGCAGCGGAGGAGACGCAAGGGGAAGTGAGTAGGGCCTCTCTCCCACTGCCCAGGCCACGATGGACCGAGCGCCTGCGGACAGGACAGGGTCACACGGAGGATATGGCCTCACTGGGCGGCTAGGGCCGAGATGAGAACCCACCCTCAGCAGCCCCAGGGGAAGCTGTGTCTCCGAACCCCAATTTAAAGGCAATCAGGACCCCCAAAATATGAGTCCCCACCAATCCTTCATGCAATGAAAGCTCTAGGAAGAGCATGAGGGAGAAACAAGGAGGCAGAGATGTGGAGAAGAGCCAGGCAGGGAGGGGACCCAAGAGCCATGATGGACGCAGACTCCATGGGCCTCCTACTCAAGGGAGGAAAAGGACTGGGACCAGCTGAGTGACCCCCTCAGAGGGACCCGGGAGCTCCAAACAGGACGTGCCCCCTGCGGGAAGTCCCGGCGAGGGGAGACTGACGCTGCTAAGCTCTGAACATTCCGACCCACCGTCACCTCCCTGTTCCATTTTCACTCCAAAGTAGTTGTTGCCTTTGTGTAAATAACAACTTGCTTATCTCGGGGAAACACCGTCTACACAGGAGTGGTTCTCATGACCAAGAAAAAGAGCCCCCTCTGCAGACACAGGTCCCAGCAGAGGAAGTAGTTTCAAAGCCACAACCTGCCTCTGCGTTTCACCTGGGCCTGTTGGCAGGTGACGCCACCTCCTGCCCTGAGCCACGTTTGGAGGTGGTTTAAAAAGGGCCCTTGGGCACTGCTCCTGCCCTGCTTTCTCACCGCCCACACCCGGCCGCCAGTTACAGCGGACAAGGCTACCCTGCAAACTCCTAGCTACACGACACTGCAGAGCGTCACAGGGAGAGCACTGGCTCTGCTGGTGGAGGGTCCAGCGCCCTCTCTGGGATGCACGTGCCCTCCCGGAGGCTCTTCCCAGACTAGTTTCTGTGCAGGATTGTACACTGAACAGAATGTACTTTTATCCCAAATCACCCCCAAAAGCATCTAATTTAAGCACAGCTACATGGAAGTGTGAGAATTCTACAAGTGCACCTTCTGAGCAGACTGACGAGGGCAAGAATGATCCTGTGAGTGACCATCAGGACCTCGCTACTCCAGGGACACCACTGCGGGCACTGAGGCCAGGAAGCGGGGAGGTCCCTGAAATGCAACTCAGCTATTCGTGAAGTGAATGCAGATTGAAAACAGAATCACACAACTTCCCACTCCAGACAAATAAAATGCATGGTTATGCCCAACAGACCCACGATCAGAGCCAAAGACAGATGGCCTGGAGGGGAGGTGATGAGACAGCTCTGTGGCTGAAGACAGACCCTCTGCTCTTGGGGTTGGGACAACGGAAACAGAAGTGAATGTAAAGTAGGACAGTTGGGGCAGGGAGGTGGGGCTGGGGATGGACACTGCTGTGCGTGTGGAAAACTATGAAAAAGGCCAATCTTTTCATTGGCTTTTATAATTTTCATATGTAAACTAAGTGTAAAATGAATGAGGAAGGAGCTGTCCAGCCTGCTGAAGGGTCTGACAGGGACCTGGGGCTGTGCCTGTACCGGTGGCCGGGCCCGTGCAGTGGGCTGACTGATGGCGATGGGGACGGCGAGCGCAGCCTTCACACAGGCGCGCTGACAAAGCACTCCCCATGTTTTCTACTCTGGGATTGTCCCAGGACCCGCAGGAGGAAGCTGTTACTCTGAGCTGTTCTCAGCTTAGAGTGTGAAGGGACACGCTCGACTTGTTAGGAGGAACGGCTGGCTGTGACTTGGGAAAGCTGAAGCGGCACAGAGCTGGGCCCTCCCCGCACCCCGTGCCCAGGGACAGGAAGGGCCACCCAGCAGTCACACAACAGAAGGGGTCTCCGCGCCCTAAAGCTCTGGACGCAGAACCAAAGGGCAGGCGGGGCTTCCCAAGCCCGCTCCTTGCGTGCACTCGCGTCTGAAGGCAGGCCCGGCAGAGCCAGTGCTCAAGGACCAGCCCTGGACAGAGGGATGCAGCCACCGCCTGGCTGCCCCGAGTGCTGCCTCTCACATGAGACGGACGCCACAACAAGGAGCCCAGGTTACCTGCACAAACAGGTAGGCGAGGAGGCAGCAGAGCCCTTGAAAGGGGCTCTGCACAGCCTGCAGCTCTTCGCTCGAGGAGGAGAGGTCGAAACAGGCGAGGAGCACCTCTACACGCCGTGCGTGGGTTCCGGGCTCATGGTTCAGCCACAGCAGCTTCAAACTTGGCGTTCCCCCTGCGTGAAAAGTCCACGGAGGCCATTTACATCAGTCTGCACCAGCGAGTCACTACATGCTTCCTCTACAGCGGTTCTCAACCTTCCTCACGCCGCGACCCTTTAATACATACAGTTCCTCATGTTATGGTGGCCCCCCACTTCATTGTTACAAATTGAACATAATTAAAGCATAGTGACTAATCACATAAACAATATGTAATTATCTATGTGTTTTCCGATGGTCTTAGGTGACCCCTGTGAAAGGGGCGTTCAACCCCCAAACGGGTTGCGACCCACAGGTTGAGAACCGCTGCTCTAGAAAGACAGGACCAGAGCGAAGGATGCGAGCCTCTCCCTCCTGACACCTGGGGCTTTAAAGCTCAGAGGAACCAGAGACAAATGTCAGCAGAGTCCTGGTCTGAAGGCTGCGCACACGCATTTCCCGGACGACACTGCGCTTCCGTGTTCCGAGGGCACGGCTCTCTTCCTCCCTGCGTGGTGCCCGTGGAGTCAGGAACGCTTTCTGGAGTCCGTTCCCAAGCGCTGCCCTCAGGAGCGCTGGGCTGAGCCACCAGCTCATCTGGTCCCTCTCTCCACCCGCCCGACAGCCTCCAAACTCCAGGGAGCAACAGGCCCAGCTGCAGAGCCCGACATGCCCGGCCGTTCTGCTGGCTGTAGTGCCACAATGTGCATGGCTCCCCGGGACCCCACGGTCTGGGAAATAAACCCTAACGTGTAACTTTTAGTGCTTCATCTGTCTGTTATGCACGCATCTCCATCACTAACGTCAGAGAAAGAAGCCCCTTGCTCGTTACCGTGGATCAGAACAACAGCAGGAGGAAGACACAGCAGAGAGGTGCTGCAACGTGGAGGACGCAAGCATTCGCTTTAGCTCATTGTCGGCAACGTGCTTTTCCTTCCCTCTCATTATGTGTTTGAAGATACCTCTCGTGGAAAAGAAACTGATTTCCAGTAAAATAACTTTCCATGCATTTAAATACGCTCTCAGCAGCGGGAAGAAGAGCAGGTTTGTGCAGAGGATCAGGAACCCAACCCTGTAGGCTCAGTGGGTCGGGCTGGGGTCCGGCGGTGACGGGCTGTCTGAAACCCTGAGTGGAGCCCAGCAGCAGGATGGCCACGCAGGTCCCCGTGCCGCCCTCCCTCTACCGTGAGCAACAGAGGCCCTCCTCCGGGCCCACTGAACTGGCAACTAGTGCGTGTGCAGTTCTGGAAAACGCATCTCCAGGCGAATCCGTGACTGCACTCTACCCCGCGGGGAACAACCGGTGCCCTGCTTGACCGAGGCGTCTGTACCTGGGAGGCTCATCTGCAGAGGCCTGACGAGGTCCGGGTGCGTCAGCGGGTTCCCAGAGTACACAAACCACTCCTGGACGGGAGGAAAGCTGGCACCATCTGAGGAAAGACAGTGGATCGGTAGAAGCGTGAGGGCCAAGTGTCCCCAAACCCAGCTCTGCCAGGGACCCTTCCAAGCAGAGGTAGTGCTTCCTCCTGTCTGAAGCCTGCTGCCCCGAGCTCCCCAGCCTCAGACACTCCCCTCCTGTCCTCAGGTGGAGGCAGGTAAAGAGCACCAGGCCCCTCTGTGGGTTCTTCTGTGTCACAGGAACAGGTCGGGTGGCTGCACAGACCCTCAGGGTGCCTCCTGCCACGAAAGGTGAGGGCAGAGGCTGCACTCACCAGGATAGCTTGGCAGCGGGCGGACTGTCCTCACCTACCCAGAACATCCAGACGGCACCATTTCCACTTTTAACCGGATCACCCTCCTCAGAAAAGCTCTAGCTCCATGCCTCCAAAACCCCGAGCCAGATGCAGTGTTACCCGAGGTCTTCAAGTCACAATAAGCCCATTTTCCTAAAAAACCCTAGAGTTTGGCCATTCTCTGGGGCACCACTTCATTTCAGAGGTTTTGATCTGTCATCACTTTGAAATTATAGCAGACATGTTTGCAAATAATTTGGTTTGTCTGAATTAAGATGGAAGTCATCTTAATGTCCATATACCAAGAAAAAGAGAGGAGGAAACAGCCCAGAAGTCCTAAAAGAAAAGGCTGCCTCTCCCCCTGGCACTCGACTGGCTGGGTTCTGAGGTCCATGAGCGAAGGGAGACCTCTCAGAAAAGCTCTCTGCAGTTTTCATCTCCCTCGGCTTGGCCATCGCATGGAGATGGGAGGCTCAAACCTGCTCCTGTCACCCCGACACATGATGCCGCTCTGTCAAACCCATGTGCAGCCAAGACATGTCTCCCTGGGAGCAGCATGGGTGACTGCACACTCCACCTCTCCACGCAGAAACCTGTCGGGTCACGTGCCCCTCCCCCGCCCGGCACCGACTCCCTCCCAATCTGGGTCGGGGGCACATGTGGGGCATATGGGGCAAAAGAGCGCAAGAAGCAATGTGGACGTCAACCTCTCAATTTTTGGGATTGTCAAGTTTGTAACAATCTTCTAGGTTTTTAAAGAATATATTTGTCCTATGAAGTATCACCTCACACCTGTCAGAATGGCTACTATCAATAAATCAACAAACAACAAGTGCTGGTGGGAACCCTTGTGCACTGCTGGTGGGAAGGCAGACTGGTGCAGCCACTGTGGAAAACAGTATGGACTTACATCAAAATTAAAAAATGGATCTTCTGGCCCTAACTGGTTTGGCTCAGTGGATAGAGCGTCGGCCTGTGGACTAAAGGGTCCCAGGTTGGATTCCGTGCCAGGGCATGTGCCTTGGTCGCGTGCACATCCCCAGTAGGGGGTGTGCAGGAGGCAGCTGATCGATGTTTCCCTCTCATCGATGCTTCTAACTCTCTATCCTTCTCCCTTCCTCTCTGTAGAAAATCAATAAAATATATTTTAAAAAATGGATCTTCTGTTTGACCAAGTGATCCCACTTCTGGAACTATCCCACTTCCTAAGAAACCCGAAACGCCAATCAAAAAGAATATATGCATCCCTGTTCATAGCAGCATTATTTACAGTAGCCAAGATCTGGAAACAGCCCCAGTGCCTATCATTAGATGAGTGGGTAAAAAAGCTGTGGTACATTTATACCATGAAATACTATGCAGCTGTAAAAAAGGATTTCTTACCCTTAGAGACAGCATGGAGGGACCTGGAGAGTATTATGCTAAGCGAAATAAGCCAGTCAGAGAAAGAGAAGTATCACATGATCTCACTTATAAGTGGATTCTAAAGAAAACAACAAGAAAAAACCTGACAAACAAAATAGGTCCAGAGGTATGGATGCCTGGAACAGAATAACAGATCTCGGAGGGAGGGAGGGTTTGAGGGGAGGGGACGGGAAGAGATTAACCACAGAACAGATCTGTATAACCCAAGGACACAGACAATAGCATGGGAAAGGCCTGGGGTGGGGTGGGGCAAAAGGGAGAAAATGGGAGACACCTGTAATACTGTCCACAATAAAATTAAAAACGTATGCATATGTATCTGTCCTTGTAGTTCTGTAATGCTTTTATACTGCTGTTTAATCTACAATTGTGTGTGTGTGTGCTCATGGTCCTTAAAAAAAACAGCATAACTTTCCATTCTTTTTTATGTATTATTATTTTTAAAGTTACCTTTTAGGTCAGTATCTAGGATTTCAATGAGTGAATGGCCTGCAGGCACTTTGCAAAGGTGCCACGCCTGCTGGACACTATGTACCACAGGGCTGAGTGCCCATAAGACTGGCAGCCCTGCCCAGCCCACTGGGCGAAGAGAGGACCCCAGCAATAGGACAGCTAATCCTGTCAGGGGCTGCTGCTCGCCTGGGCTCTGCGCCAACATCGTGAGCCACCGCGATGCGGAGGAGCAGCTTCTCCTACCTCCTCAGTGACGTCGCCAAGATGCTCAGTGGGGAGATAAAACTGAGAGACAGGGTTAGAATCCGGAAAGAATGGCAGAAGCCAGGAGGGCGAAGTGGGGAATGACTGCAGGTTCTTCCCACATTTGGCCATAGCGCTGTCTAGCCATCCAAATACCATGTATCCAACTATAACATACTGGTACATGCAGTTTTAGTAAGTGGACCCAGGCAGTTCAAACCCCCATTTTTCAAGGTATCTGAGGATGCAGGCCAAATGTAGTTGTAGGTGAATTTCTGATTCAGCATTGTTTTGTTCAAGGGCCAACTGTACCCTAAAAATAATTTGAGGCAAACATTATTCTATAATGTCAATTCTTTTCAGGATGAAAATCTTTTTAAATCATCAATGTGTAATCATTCATGTTCAGAAAGACCCATATAAGAAAATAAATTAAACAATATTTGTCCCCAAAGCTTATTACATAGGTTCTTTTGTTTCTGTTTTATTTTTAAATATATATTTTATTGATTTTTTTACAGAGAGGAAGGGAGAGAGACAGAGAGTTAGAAACATTGATGAGAGAGAAACATCGATCAGCTGCCTCCTGCATATCTCCCACTGGGGATGTGCCCGCAACCCAGGTACATGCCCTTGACCGGAATCGAACCTGGGACCCTTCAGTCTGCAGGCCGACGCTCTATCCACTGAGCCAAACCGGCTTCGGCATTGTTTCTGTTTTTAAATCAGCTTCTTTCTCGTCACCTCACATCAGATAGGATGGTGCAGTCGGCCTCTCTCAGGTGACAGAGGTGACAGATACCACTGCATTAAGCACCACGCATCTCTAGAAGTGCTCTTCTCCTCCCCTCACTCCCAGAAACCATTCCTCAGAGCGGGTTTGGGGCCTGATGGACTCCTCGGTACTAAGGTATCCCAGGTTACTGCCCTGGCCCTCATGTCCTCTCCCTATACTCGCTGCTATTGCGCAACAGACAAAAAGATGGGGAGACACATAGACTTATATCAAATACCCTAAAGGAAAATTTTGCTTATATTTTAAAATATGATGTACTAGGTTTTATATAATTATTTTATGAAAATCTCATTTTGAGGGACAGTAAGTAGACACTGTCTCCTAATCATAAACAGCTACTCTCTGCAGAGGAAAGGGTTTTCACATCGGAAAAGCACAGTCCTCTAAGGCATAAATAGGGAACATTTCATAGAAACAATGCTTTTTTTTTTTTTTTTTACAGAGGAAGGGAGATGGATAGAGAGTTAGAACCATCGATCAGCTGCCTCCTGCACACCTCCTACTGGGGATGTGCTGGCAACCAAGGTACATGCCCTTGACCGGAATCGAACCTGGGACCTTTCAGTCCGCAGGCCGATGCTCTATCCACTGAGCCGAACCGGTTAGGGCAACAATGCTCTTTTTTAATGACTGCGGGCAACTGCTGGCTGAGTAGACTCAGAGGCCTGTGGCCTCCACCTCACTTTAAGTGGATGTTGGTGGTATCCCACCACAGCCCCCACCAAGGAACAAACCCTGTTTAACTGCATCTGTGTCTTCAGTGGCCAGTGTCAGAAACCGCCTGTGCCCTGCATGGTCATGAGGACTCACCATGGCCATCCGCCAGCAGGAGGGAGTAGACACGCTGCCGCACCGGGCGGTAGACGAAGGCCTGGCTGGGCAGGGCCTGGTCCAGGGCATCCTCCAAGGTGTTGCTGCACTCGATCTCCCCGCTGGCCATGATGTTGTACACAAGGTAGCTCTCCGCCTGCACGTGCTGGGCTCTAGCAACCTGCTCAAAGTTTAGACACAATGGAATTCTCCTTGCAAACACAAGGACGTTCAAACAGAAAAAGTCAGCACTTTTATGTCACACACCAGTGTTTTAAGGCACACAGCAAGGAATAACTGTCCCCCAGGCTCAAACTGGCATCTGTGTTTCCTGTCTTCTGGGCTTCTGGCTGAGAGCTTTCTTGCTCCCTGTTCTCCAGCCCCAAGCACCTGCCAGACTCGCTGACTCTGCAGCGTGGTCCTCTTCCTCTGTCCACCTGAGAGTGAGGGTGGTGGACAAGGCTCTGCCCGACCTATCTCAGCCACCACCGTCTGCAAGCAGGACAACCACTGCCCTCCTCCAAGCAAGCTCTTCACACTAACAGTCAAGGCCCCTTTACAGTGAAGGCCTCAACTCCTTTCACCCACACACAGTTCCGGCCTCAGAGAACCTGCCATCACCAGTCCCAGTGCACAGCTGCAGTGCTCCCAGGAATGCTTCACCCTCTCCCACCTGCACCTGAGCTCCCAGCGCCCACTTCACCAGCTCCTCTCCATAAACAAACCTCTGCTCCCCTCCTCACGGGGCTCGCCTCACACTGACCCTGTGATCTCCCCACTAAATTATAAACTCCTTGGGCTGAGATGCTGGTCACATTCATTCCTTTGCTCAGTAATCTGAAGGCAGGTGAAGAGATGGATGATTTAAATGATTCTACTTTCTTATCAAATAAGAACTAAACTCAGAAGGGCTATATATCTACATGTCAGTTGTATTTTCCTGTGAAGAACATTCTTATTACTGCAAGAAAAAATTCATCTACATTACGACCCAAAATTTAAGTCTAAATAGTCTATAGCTAACGGCACTTAAAATGTGGCAGCAGGATAACTTGGAATATCAAAAACTTGGTGAATCCGATTGTCTCATTGTTTATACACACTAGTTATGTTGATTCATTAATGCAGACTTAAGTCTTAATCTCTTTATTCCTCACTTTCTTCATATATAAAATAGGTTTAATAAAAGTGGCAACCTATCTAAGCAATAAAACAAAATTAAAAAAAAAAGTGGCAACCTCACGAAACTACTGAGGATTGAGGTAACACAGGAAACACACCTGGCTGACACATCCTGTGCGCTCAGTGAGTGTCAACTGTTGTTATAAGGCTAGACAGACTACAAAAATGTCCATTTCATTGTTAAAATGTCTTTTTAAAAATGTTATCTTACTGTTCAAAGTATTATATATGCCCTCCTTTCCCCCACTTTAATCCCTTTCACCTCGTGCCAGCCCCCACTAAAATGTCTTTAAATCACAACAGAGGACAGGCTAGCAGCTTTAAGATTTTTTAAAAAAGTATTTTAAAGAGCTACGACTTGATACTCTAGCCAACTGAAGATCATCAGAAGTGACCCATTTCCCTATGTGCCTGCTTGAAGCACATCAGCTCCACTGAGGTCTGGCTCCACTACTACCTCTTCTGGGAGCTTCTCTCTATCCCTTAGCCCCCAGGGATCTCTCTCCTTCAGAGCCCTCTTCTGGAACAGTCATGTGACAATGTCAAATATGGTTTAGAATGTGAGTTTTCAGGGCTTATGTCATACTTCCTAACTAAACTCCTGGGTCCTATTCTGTGTCCCCACAGCACCTTACCTACTGCAGGCGGTCAATATTCACTGACGAGTGCCTTGATGGATGCGTTTCCATCAGGCCGTCATAGATAAGGGTGGGCTTATCTACCTACCTTTAAGATTTCGGTGTCTGAAACCATGGTTACTTGTCGCTTGATTTCAGGCTCCATATTCACGGGGTCTTCCTCCTTGAATTCAGGGTCTGTACACATGGGAACTTCCTGCGTGGATTCAGGGTCTGTACACATAGGATCTTCCTGCTTAGACTCAGGGTCCGTACACACAGGACTTTCTTGCTTGGATCCAGAATCTGTACTCTCAGGACTTCCTTGCTTGGATTCAGGGTCTGAACTCTCAGGACTTTCTTGCTTGGATTCAGGGTCTGAACTCACGGATATGATCTGCTTGTCCAAAGTTGTTATAGCTTTGGCTTTTGGGGAAATCCATGGAGATTTCTGTCCTGGTAAAAGATATGATGCCATCCCCTTATAAAAAAGAGCTTTGTTTGGTCCCAAAGGTAACATCTCTTCCAGCTTTTTCTCACCTTGATATAAGCGAAGGACTTTAGCTATGTGGTCTGCTACAGCTAAGATGACGTTGCCTCTCCTGTCACAGTTCTCCTTCACAGAGGTATAGAAGGACAAGCACTTGTACCGAAAGGTCTCAAACATGCCTTCCGGGACGACGTCGTTGCCCAGCAGGCAGGCCAGAAGGGGAAGGTCTGCCAGGCAGAGGCCCAGACTCGCACAGAGCTTCTCCCTACAGAGCATGACAGTGCTGAGGCTGTCCAGGCAGAGCTCACTGATGGAAAAGTAGGGACAGGAGTCATAAATTAAGTAGTCGGTGTCTTCTCCGAGGATCCCTAGACAGTTGTTCTGGAGGCCGTAAGAAGCCACCTCATAGTCAGCCTCCTGTAAGGAGCACAGGGTTTCCTGACCCAGCGTCTTCAGAGCAAACCGCGTGAAGATGGCCAGCCCCGAGGGGATGAAGAACATGCTCCTGCTGGGCTGTTCCCTGTGCGTCTTGATATAATGGAAAATCCGGGCAATCTCCCTGTTGTTCTTGAGTCTCCGTTTCACCCACACATCTCTCTTCTCCTTCTCCACCATGCCATCAAAGAAGAATACCAACTTGATGCCAACATCTGTAAAAGTTCTCACAAAATCTCGCAGGACAGAAAAGTATTCCTTCCACTGGCCACCGCAAACCCATGACTCAGGGGTGTACCAGTACCTGAGACAGCACATGGCGTCCACCACGATGGTGGGCGTGCATCCGGGATGCTTGCTTTGGTGCTGCTCGGCCAGCTCTTTGAAATTCACTGTTGTACATACATGTGGGCAGCTGCTTGCCACAAACCCCTGCAAACCTCTCACACCCATGACTGACCTCCCAGAAGGATCTGGAAAGGAAAGGAAAGGAAAGGAAACCAGTTATTATGGCACCTTACAAAGCCCACACAGACAATGGTGAATAGCCATTCTCTATCAGGAGCCTAAAGTTTTCCATAAAAACACGTGAGGAACTTTAGCTAAGTGTAAATTACTTGAGTTGGACTTTTCAAAGATAACATAGTGTAGCTTCTTTTTAAGATTTTAGCTAAGACTCTTATTTAAGAGATTTCTCAAATGGATTCAAAACAGGCTAACAGTTTTCAAAAAAGTAGTATTTTCCATCTAGGAACCCAAATAGAAGTTAACTCTGAAAACCTAAAAACAAAAATGGCTATTTCTCAAAATAATTTTGCTGAGTTGAAAGAAGCCAGATTTTTAAAAAAGTACACACTATGATTCCATTTGAATATAAATTTTTGGTTCATTGAGAGCTGAGCTCATTTGAAGTGGCAGAGAGCATCTGGGTGGGGGCAAGTTAGAGGGAGGGATTTACAAAGGGGACTTTTGGGGTGATGGTTCCATTCATTACCTTGATTGTAGTGATGCTATCATGGGTAAACACATGTTACCTGTAAACTCAGCCTGTGCAGTTTCCTCTATGTCAACTACACCTCAATAAAGGGGTTGAAAAGAGAACTAGCTGGCTCTAACAACACTGGTGTCAGGGGCACTGCCCACCAGCAGTCAGAAATCCACATGTAAGTTAAGTCAGCCTCCTCCAACCTCAAGTAAACAAATACAGTACATAAAAGTTCACTATGGCCCAGCCGATGTGGCTCAGTGGTTGAGCACTGGCCCAGGGGCCAGGAGGTCACAGTTCAACTCCTGGTCAAGGCACATGCCTGGGTTGTGGGCTCGGTCTCCTGTAGGCGGCGTGCAGGAGGCAGCCCATCTGTTTCTCTCTCATCAATGTTTCTATCCATCCCCCTTTCTCTAAAATCAATAAAAAAATATATTTTTTAAAGGTTCACTAAGGCAAATGTGTCTAACATCTGCGATGGTGAATAAGTCCACCGCACAGCTGCGCACGCCCCGTCCACCTCCATCTCCACAACAACGTGACACTGACAAGGCTGACTCTGCGCCACAAATGAAGACGCTGCATGTAAGTCAATTGTCAGGGAAAAAGCACGGGCACTGATGATGGTTTGAGAACTGCCTGTTGGTGGGCAGTGGCCCCATCGGAAGCTGAAGTTATCTGTTTAATAGCCATTAAGTGAGAAATACATAAAAACTGAATGGATATAACACACATTTATGTTGAAATGTAGAGGTCTTGCTCATTAAGTTATTAAATATAATGGAACACATGCATCCACACACCAAGACCATGTAGAGCTCTTGCTAGACAAACAGGCATTTATCTTGGGAGCATTATCAAGTAATGCAACTTTGGATCATTATCGCAACGAGAAGGCGGTTACAGTTCGGACCTCCGGGCATGGACCCCACATCTAGGAAGGGTACAACATACTTCTGAAGCAGAGGGGCGTTCTTATGACACTCCGGCGGGAGCTAGGTACACGTCTGGAAAGGGTGTAAAAGACTTCTCCAGGCCATCACTCTATGCCTAGCTTTGGAAAGAGCAGGCCTGTCAGGTTTGTTGACAACGAGGAAGCAAAAGTAAATGACAAACTGTGCGTGTGACCAGGTTTCCATCCTCTCGCCAGGCTCCAGGCTGGGTGCTGCCGACCCCCCTCCTGAGGCCCACCAGCAGCCAGGGGCGCAGCAGACCCTGCCCTCACCCCAGCTCCCACAGGCGGGGCCCCCATCTGTGCCGCCGCCCACCATGCTTGGGCTGGCTGCCTTCCCTCACCAACAAAAAGGATTTTTGTTTCAAGCATTTTTCTACTAAAACTGCAAGTGACAACACTGAGTTTCCAAAACACTCTCCTCTTTATTTTACAGAGTCGGGCTCAGCTCTGCTTTGATTTCATTCAAATGTTTTTCCTCCTTTCTCACCCCAGCAATGAAAAGCTCACTATTTTAATTAAACACACACAGTTTTTTCCTGTTTTTCACACTGCCAATCTCTCCCATTTTGAATCACAAACTACCTCAGGAATGTTACCTTACAATGTGCTCTTGTGTGGCATTTGCAAAGAAAAATTCGGAGACACAAAGATCTGGGAACCTGTGACAGCAGCGGGGCCTTCCGTTTTCAGCTCAATATGTCACACACCACACCACCACCTGTCAACACAGGCCGAGTGGTGGGAAAGGAAATGCTAAAGAGATAATTCTGTGGCCCTGGCCACAGGGTGGCTTGAGTAGTTGGAGCGTAGCTCCATACATCAAAAGGTTGGTTTGATTCCTGGGCCGGGCACACACCAGGTTGCGAGTTCAATCCCTGGTTGAGGTGTATAGGAGGTAACCAATGGGTATTTCTTTCTCTCTCTCCCTTCTTCTCTAAAATCAATAAAAAACATATCCTCTGGTGAGAATTAAAAAAATATTTTTAAAAAAGATTATTTTGTGGCCATTACCTTTTTAACAATATTTTTGCTTTTAAATTGGTAAGAGTAATACTGAGGTGTTTTTCATTCTCTACCATTAAAGATTATTTAAATACATACATGTATATATAATTTAATTTATTCTACCTGTAAACTATAAGAAAATTTTCACTGCCAAGAAAGAAAACAGAAGTTATGTCTCCTTCGGTAGGAATCATATTGCCCAAAACACAGCCTGGGAGACAGGTGTCTCCATGTGGGCCTCTCCAGGGCAGACGTCACTGTCACCCCCGGCACCAGCAGTGTCTGCCGTGCGAGGGCCACTATTTGTGAGTGAAGAAATGAAGGATCAAAGGGCAGGTGTGCAAAGAGAGGTCACTGTCACCCCCGGCACCAGCAGTGTCTGCCGTGCGAGGGCCAGTATTTGTGAGTGAAGAAATGAAGGATCAAAGGGCAGGTGTGCAAAGAGAGGTCACTGTCACCCCCGGCACCAGCAGTGTCTGCCGTGCGAGGGCCAGTATTTGTGAGTGAAGAAATGAAGGCATCAAGGGCAGGTGTGCAAAGAGAGGTCGCTGTCACCCCCGCACCAGCAGTGTCTGCCGTGCGAGGGCCAGTATTTGTGAGTGAATAAATGAAGGATCAAAGGGCAGGTGTGCAAAGAGAGGTCAGGAATCACCAAGTGTGGGCAGAGGGGGAGTCACCAGTAGGCCCACGTCCTCAAGCAGCACCAGTGCCGGACATCGCACAGAAGGGCTGCCACAGGCACACAGGGAGCCATCCAGAGGGGCCTCACCGCCAGGAACAGCCTCACTGTCCTGACAGCCAGACCAATCCCAGGAACTGGGTTGCAGCAAATGAAGAAGTGGACAGAAGACAAGTCCAGAAGCTCCTTTATTCACAATCTTTCAGCAGACAGAGAAATGGAGAGAGGCATGCCTCAGCAAAAACATATCAGCCCAACCTGCACCGACAGGTCCGGAGCCAATCCAGACATAGGGACAAATGGACTCAGAGCCAGCCATTGGACACATCCCATGCGCAGAGCAGCATCTGCAGGACAGCCGGTCCCAGTGGTTGTAGCCCCTTAAGACATGGACAGTGTTTCCCCTCTGCCCCCCACTCCCCCAACCAATTTGGAGACAAAGCAGGTTCATGTTCTACAGAGCAATCAAACCATAACCTTGGACTTATCTTTATCAAATAATCTGTCTCCACAAGCCCAAAATCTACAAACAAGCAACACCAGTGTCTGGTCTCTGATCAGGAGTGAAGAGGAAAGCCAGTACACCCTGGTGCCAGGTGGATGTTCATCAGTGGCCCTGGATGACTAGGATGAATCAGTCCTTTCGTTCCCTGCTTCATTTCTGCGTCTTCAATGACCACATGCTGGCTGGGCCTTGGTCCACCTAGGGAGACCCCCCAGGGGCGCTTTCCTCCCCGCTCGCCCCACCAAAATAAAAGCAATTGATGGGGAATCCGTACACAGAAGGGTGTGAACAGGGATTGAGGGTTCCAAGAGGATTGTCTCAGGGCAGCTTGTGGGACAGCGTTGGCTCGATGTCTCCTGAGTATTTATGGATCCACAAACAACCAGATGAGCAAGTAAGCTAAGGGCAGCTGCCACTCAGGTGGTCCCCTCTCTGAGGGCTGTCCACAGGCTCACTGGGCACTGATAGACACTCTCCTGGACCAACATCAAGCAGGCTCCCCAGGGCCCTCTTCTCCACAAGGCACAATCTTAGCCTTCCTGCTGGCCCTGCCCAGTCCAGTTGACTCAAGAATCCTACTGAGTCAGTGTAGAGAGAGAATCCCCTGCCCGATTCTTGCTGATCCTTCACTCTGCCTGTTGGCAGATGCCTCTGCCCTATCTGAAGTTGAGCCCTACCTCTACCTCCTATGGCAAGTTTGGAATAAAGTCTTCCTTATTTTCTTAATTGTCAGAGTAAGAAGTTTACACAAGAAATGGGAAGCCTGAAGTTACCACCATGTACTTGGCTATGCCCAGGTACAAGTCCAGACTCGGATGCCCTGGAAGACCTCCCACAGCTGCCATGACCACTGGTGCCAAGAGTCAGACTGGTGCAAAGAAGATGCAGACGCCCAGGAGCTGGTGGCAGACCCTGCACACTGTATCCTGGGAAGACGGGGCAGACGCTGGGCAATACTGACGACAGAAGGAAAAGCTCTGGAATAAAACCACACTAAGCCCAACCTCCACGTCCTTGCAATGAAACTCTGAGCAAGTTACCTTATCCTATATGCTTCATTTTTCTTATCTGCAAAGTGAGCTCTACAAGACCGACTTCATAAATTGGTGTGATGTGATTTCATTTAGATTATAAATTTATTCATTAAACATTTCTCATTGGTTGCCTCAGGGTTTAGTAAAATCTACCCAGTCCAAAATTCTTAAATTATCTTAAAATAAAGCCATATAAATATGAGGGTGTATTATACTTATGATTTTTTTAAGCTAGATTACTTTTTAACATTGGAAAAATTTTTTTCTGGAAAAGTAGCTGTGAGAAATAAAGTAGCCATGTTCTTTGCAGAAACTCATAGAACAAAGGAAAAAAACCACTCATAGCCTCATCTCCCAAAAATAAGGACAATAAACATTTTAGAGTATATATTTCTAAAAATTGGGATCATACTTCTCTATAACTATTTTGTGTCTTAATTTAATAGGTGATACATGTTGCCAAGTCAGAAGGTTGACCTGTTATGGTGTAATTTTTAATGGGTGCACAGTGTGTTGTAGTGAGTTCTCAACACTACTGCTGGACATTTATGCCATCTCCTATATTGCAAGCCATACATAAGAATGTGAGTCACATCCATGCATAAAAATCTCATTTCCTTGGGATGAATCTTAGATGTGAAACTGCTGAGGCGAAGGAAAAGCACATCCTGGTAATTCTTCTCCAACAGGCTGTCAGTCTGTAGTTGTACCTCGTTAGCACTCAGCTGTCCTCACCACCACTAGGGCAGTTATCTGAACATAAATCTGGTTTACTCAGTCATTGAGTCATTGCTAGAGGCCCAGCAAACGCGACAGCAGCCACTCTAGCAGGAAAATGTCCAACAGGCAACAAGCACTTGACTTAACTGTAGGGCAGAGAAGGGCAAAGCATGTGAATGGGGGGAACACTAAGTAGGAAGACCCAGGACAGGTCCAGGACCCATCCTGAGTGTCCCGATGGAGACAGGAGAGCAGGCGAGGCCTGAAGCAAGAGTGGTAAGTGATAACTTCTTTGAAGTCCATAAGGTGTCTTTTTTATTATTAAACTAGAGGCCCAGTGCACAGATTCGTGCACTGGTGGGGCCCCTCAGCCTGGTCTGCTCTTTCTCGAAATCTGGGACCACTTGGGGGTTGTCAGACTGCTGGTTCAGTCGATCCGAGGACTGTAGTAGTGCATGAAGAGACAGGCAGCCAGGGAGGAGCCCAAGCTGGGGCCCGGCAACACCCCGCTCCTGCTCATCCCGGCCCGCTGTGCCTGCCATTGCTGCCGCTCAGTGGCGCTGCCGTGGAGGCGGGAGAGGCTCCTGCTGCCACAGCTGCACTTGCTAGTCATGAGCTTGGCTCCTGCTGTGGGAGCGCACTGACCACCAGGGAGCAGCTCCTGCGTTGAGCGTCTGCCCCCTGGTGGTCTGTGTGCATCATAACAAATGGTCAACCAGTTGAGCAGTAGACTGGTCATAACGGTTGCTTAGGCTTTTATTATATAGAGGCCCAGTGCACAAAAATTTGTGCACTCGGGGGGTAGGGGGAGCCCTCAGCCCGGCCTGTGCCCTCTAGCAGTCTGGGACCCCTCGGGAGATAACGACCTGCTGGCTTAGGCTTCTCCCGGGTGAGAGAGGGCAGGCCCAATCCCTAGGTGCAGCCCCTGGTCGGGCTCAGAGCAGGGCCGATTGGGGAGTTGGGG